AAATCTTTCTCCAACTGCTTTTTGCCCTCCTCATCTTGCCATTTCTTGCAGTATTTGGTGAAGGCCTTCTTCTTTGACTTGTGCCTTCAGGAGCAGAGCAGAAACAAGGTTTGGCTAAGCCCTTCATCARTCCCCAGGAAAGCGGGGATGAGCGGAAGGAGCTGCCACCTTAGCTGACTTTGGCTCATTGCCAGCTTCTAATKACTCTTTTCCACTGGCAAGCGGAGCCTGGAGCTCATCAGACAGTGGCAAAATTGCCAAAGCTGAGCGGAGCTGTCATGAATTCCAAAGAACATTAGCAATCACACTACAGAAGACAATAGACTGTAAAGAGATGTCAAACAGTAAGAGAAAAAAACAGATCTTAAAGGCAAATGTGAGATGACTGTGATCTGCTTCAAAATATGGTAATTTCCCCGCCTTGTGTGCCCGACAACAAGGTCATTACTGAAACACCCTTGAGATCTTTATTGCTCCACTCTGACGTCTTTTCAGCCTGCCAAGTTCATAAACAGGCTAGAAGCTCCAGACACACTGGAGCCGCACGCGGGCAAATGCACACTTTCAATCACAATAACAGTGCCTGGAATGGCAATCAGAAGTGACACTTGTCTTCCCCTTTCCTGAGAAACAGGGCTACAATCAGGACTCGACACTCAACAACAAGCGCCAGAGGCGATTTCCTTATGTYCGCCCGTCGAAGTATCATCACATGTAGCCTGTCAAGGAGCTCCCAGGCAAGGCCCAATGTCACCACATCCATACTAAGAAGGGCACTACTAAAATTATGCTGTCAGCCCTTGGAGCCATTCCTACAGCCTATCCCATTATTAGGCCAGTCCATTAAGACTAAACACTAATGGCTGAAAGGCCTCCTCAAAAAGCTCTACTAGGACCATCTGCAATCCAGCAGTAAAAGTATGAACCATAGCCTGAGACCAGTGAAGGCCCTGCTCTCTTACCAGTTCTTGTAGAAGCGGCGCTTGCACTCATCGCTGATGTGCTCAGCAAAGATGGTCTTGAAGCTACGGAGACCACGAGGAGTCTGCACGTATCCCACAATGCCCACAATCACCATGGGAGGAGTCTCTATAATGGTGACTGCCTCCACCACCTCCTTCTTGTTCACCTCTGGATGAAAACGGAAATACAGCAATTAATTCCAGTAGCAACTCTTAAAACWCTGAATGCAATGGACTGATGTCACTCCCATCTAGAAGTCATCCCAAGGAGCCTGTGACTCTACAGCTAAACCARATCAGCAGTTACAGCAGAAATACACCACCAACTAAAGGCTTGGAACAGTGTGAAGTCAAGCTAGAACTAAAATCCAGCTGCTATTAAACAGGCCACCTGCCACCATTCCCAAAGCAAGCCACCATTCTTTATTAAAAGGGACATAAATACATACTGGATCCAGGTCTGTCGACTTCCCGGACAATGTGGGTCATGCCAGCTTTGTACCCCAGGAAGGCAGTGAGGTGGACAGGCTTGCTGGGGTCATCTTTGGGGAAGCTCTTGACCTTGCCCCTGTGCCTGCTGCTGCGCTTGCGGGGCAGGAACCCCAGGGAGCCATGCCTTGGGGCCGAGAACTTGCGGTGAGACTGAGGAGAGAAAACCAACATTTAGTGCTTGCTAYAGAGACCTGCGTTCACCCACTTGAGGGCCAAGGGTTAACTCTCTCCTTGCCTTAAMAATTCCCAGTATCAGCTGTAGGGCCAGTATGTTACAGGAATGCAATCCCCATGCCCAATCATGKACTTCCCAACACCCCTTCCCTTCCAAGCTTATTTTGTCACCAAATCCCACTCTAGCTAAAGAACCACAGAAACTGTAATTTGGCCACACATGCCACCAGAATTTCAGCCCACTCCAAAAGTCTAGAAAATGCAGCACAGCTTCATATCCTTCCATGAATCAGTACCAAAAGAAACATTACAGAAACAATTACAGTTTACAAAACTGCAGTAAACCAGCATTTCAATATCCACCTTTGAGTGAAATCACTCTGGGTGGAAGCACAGCATTTTTTCCAGAGATTTTCTCCTCGAGTCCCACTCCTGCAGCCTCCCTCTGCAACCTGAGAGCCATGTAAAGACTGGGTTCCATCCGGAGAACTCTCAGTCCAAACATTTACCCATCCGATCTCACATCCAAATTAAAGAAAAATACTGTGCAGCTATTCACAGAAATAAAATCAGTTATGATTTYGTAAAAAAAGAAAAAAACAACTCTACACGAGTTTAAAGTTTAAGACCTAAAATGGCCATAATCGCGAAAGCTCTCCGCAAAAAAAAAGCCGTCCCCCTTCCTAAAAAAAGGGCCCCAAGTGCCCCACCGCCGCCCGCGCCACTCAGACCCCGCGCCCCGCCGGGCACCGCACAGGCCCGCCTGGCCTCCCCGTGGCAACGCCTCGCTCGCGCCCCGAAATGAGCTCCGCATGGCGCACAGCAGGTGCCGGGGGCAGGGGGCGCGGGGCGGCGCGGCGTCCGGGGCCGGGATGGCGGCGATGTCCGCGGGATGCGCGGTACGGCCCGAGGCCGCAGCACCCACCATCTTGTCCACGCGCCGAGCCGGAAGGACCGCGAAGGCTGCGCGCAGCCTTTATAAGCGCCCCGCCCCCGGTCTCGCGAGAAGACGGGAGGAGGGCTCGGCGCTACGGGCGCCGCGCGCGGCCAGAAAGGGCGCGGGCAGAGACGCTCGGAAAAACAACAACCATGGTACAAACCATCACGCGGGCTTGGGGGGAACTTCGGTGCCCACAGTCACGGGTCGTAACAGATAATGTTAAATTAATTTCGTTCCATTCGATTTCATTCAACGAAATTTCCTTAGAGGAATGAARTATCGACATTTCATTTCATCAAGCTTAGTTTCATCAAGTTTCATTTAATGACATTTCATTTCATTTTGTTAATTTCATTTCATGAAGTTTCAAAATTTCAATTTTTCAATTTTTTCCTTTAACGAAATGAAGTAGAATTTCAAAATATCATTTCATGACATTTTATCTGTATTATTATAATGAACATGGGTCATAATCCACCACGGCCTGTGGTATGGAAGGGGATGCAAACCCAAGGTACTTTCATCAGTGGAACCCAGATCTGGRTGGTCTGGAGCCTCCCGCACATGGGGCACCGGGATTTGCCCTCAGGATCTCCCAGGGCTTACATAAGGATGTGTTTGACACAACACTGGGGGGAGATTCCTGCATCCTGRGATGACCCCAGTATAAACTGGAGAGCTAAGGATCCACTGCAGCTCACCTTCCTAACACAGGGATGCTTCATCCCTGGAAAGATTCAAGGTCAGGTTGGACAGGGCTCTGAGCAGGCTGATCTAGTTGAAGATGTCCCTGCYTATTGCAGGGGGGTTGGACTAGAGAACCTTTAAGGTCCCTTCTAACCCAAACCGTTCTAGGATTCTATGACTGTATGTGATGGAGGAATGTCCATCTTCTACCTCCAATCTGCCCCACAAAAGGTGAGGCCCCACAAAAGGCTGCTCACTTTTTGAAGTGCAACTCCAAATCGGTGCTCATCAGTTGGCTTTAAATGCTCTTCAATCTCCCCCACACATTTGCCTTTAGCTCTTGTACGTTTTTGGCTTACACTGCTGAGCTCAGGAACCATGTCACAACCTAAGGGCTTGCTTTCCATTTCCGTCCTGTTAATACAGATTATCAGGGACTCTGCAGCAGCCAGCAGACTGCTGGTACGCAGCTACTCTGCACAAAAGGCATGGGCCAAGGAGCTGGAAATGCCCCTAAGGCTGGAAGGCTTCTCCCCACACATGCCTTCCTGGCTGTGCTGGTGGCCATGTGGCAATGTGGGCAATGCAGAAGCCCAAGTTACTCTCAAGGCTGCAGACTCTGGAGGGCAAGGTATGTATCTTGCAGTCTCTGCCTCCTGTAGTCAGAGGGATCTCCCCAAAATCTGGACTCTCCATGTTCAAAAGGCTCTTTTCCCACCCCCTCRCAGGGACAAAGTGTGGGTGGGGTGAGGGATATTGGAAATGAGAGCCCCAGCCTTTACTACAATATGATTTTGAGACTCATCTGGCATCTTTGTTCAGGGGCACGCATCTGGTAGGGAAACTAGCCTCTGGRATAATGGGCTGCACCCAAGGGCCCAGCCTTATCCCCCTAAGGGGKCCTGTGTGTAGCAGCACCACAGAGTAGCAAAATGACAGAATTGTTACAGTTGTAAATGACCTCTGGAGATCACCTTGTCCTTTGGCAGGGACACCTAGAGCAGGTGACACAGGAACACATTCAGATGGGTTTTTTATGTTTCCAGAGAGGGAGATTCCATGACCTTCCTGGGGAGCCTGTTCAGTGCTCTGTCACCTTGAATGTAAAGAACTTCTTCCTCACGTCAAAGTGAAACTTCCTGTGTTTCATCTTCTGGCCATTGCTTTGCTGGGCACCACTGAAAAGCATCTAGTACCATCCACCCACCTTTKAGATATTTATATGTATTAATGAGATTCCCCTTTCAGTCTTCCCTTCTCTAGATGAAACAGGCCCAGCTCACGCAGCTTCTGCTCCGAAGAGATGCTCCAGACCCCAAATAATCTTTGTGGCCTCTGCGGGACCCTCTCCAGTAGTTCCTTGCCTCGTATTGGGAAGACCAGAAMTCAACACAGCCCACGCTGCGGCTTCACGAGGGCCGAGCAAGGGGTGCGGGTGCGCGGGTGGTTGGCCCTGCTGTGCCCTACAGAAACCAGGAGCGGCATCGTCCCCGTCCCTCCCCCGGGGGTCTGGGGTGGGCTGCCTCTGTACCGGCAGCTGTTCATATCCCYCGCAGCGCATCCCCGTGCTGCCCCCGCAGTGCCCGCGCCCTCCGGCCCCACAGACCCCCCCGCCTGGCCCCGCACTTGTCCCCGCCATGTGCCGCGGGCGGCGGTGGCGGCGGGGCGGGGGGAAGGGGTGGGTGCGCGCTCCTGGCGCGGCGCGTCCCCGTGGGCGGGCGCGCGCGGCTCGTCGCCGCCGGGCTGCCAGGCACGGCTCGGCTCGGCGCGGCTCGGCGCAGCCCGGCTCGGCTCGGCGCAGCCCGGCACCGCCCGCCGAGCCCCCCGCCTGCCTCCCGCCCACCCCCGCGCCGCCATGGACGGGGGCGCCTTCGGAGCGGGGAAAGCCGGCGGCGCCTTCGACCCGCAGGCCTTCATCCGGCAGCCGCAGACCATCCTGCGGTTCGTCTCCTGGGTAAGGCCCCGCCGCCCCCGGGGGCGGCACCGACACTGGCACCGGGGCGGGGGACGACCCGCTGGGCGGAGGGGGGCGCGGGGCTCCCTCAGGGACGGGCGGCCGCCACCGGCCCCGACCCCGACCTTCCTTCACAGCTGCATCTATGCACCTACACATACAGACATATGTAGATATATATAAAGTCATTATGCTGTATGTTACATACAATTACATGTTATTATATGTTTTTATCATATGCTGTTACGTATTACGTATTTCTTATATACTTTATATATGCATGTGTATTTGCATGTGTCCACATATATAATGTGCGTGTGTCCATCAGTATGTCTCCACACAGCCTAGATCCGTGCATACRCAGATATGTAGCAGATTCCATAGCATTTATGGCTGTATCTCTGTTATGTATGTATGCAAGTATGTCTGGATATAGGGATCTATCTCTGGGTTTATACATCTCTATATGTACAAATCTCCATATATATACACATGTATGTGTACACATAGATGTACAGCTGTATGTATATATATATCTGTGTTATGTGGATATAGGCCCATATAGGGTGAGAGCAGTCTGGTTTGGGGTTTCTTCCGTGGGAAGGGAAAAGGTGAGTCAGGTTGGACCATGACCCTGTCTCCATCTCTAGTGGTTTCCAAGGTTGGAGTGTTGTCTTTTTACTCTTCCATGCCTGTGTGTTTATGGTGGATGCAGGGAGGCAGCAGAATGCGGGGTGACAGGGGGAACCCTGGAGTGGGCATGCTGCAGTCCTGGAATTGCTACCCTGTGAGTCAGGGGGTGCCGGACTCGGACCATGCTGGCGTGAGTTGAGTGGGCTGTTAGGGCTGGATATTGCTCTGTGTTTTGCCGCTATCCTCTCAGTCCCCTAGCCTGGTTTCCCTGTAATGTTTCCCTCTCCGTAATTTTTGGGGAAGGGGGCAGGGGGAAAGAGGAGTCTAACGGGTGTGTCAGGGGGAGGTCTCTCTCTCTTCCCGTGACACTGATCCCATGGCTGCCCATGGGGCTGGCGCGTTTGTGCAAGAAGGTCATTGGGATTAAGGGAGCGAGAGCTGCAGCAGCGAGCTGGCGGGAGAGAGATTGAGGTCTCAGCCGGGAGCGGAGAAGGGAGGGCAGGGAGAGAGAGCAGGGGAGACACATGCGCRTGGGAGCTGGGAGGCAAAGCAGCAGGCTGACTTTGGGAAAATAAAATAAAAAGCAGTGCCAGTGGCGGATGGAAACAAGGAGGAAAGGGGAAGGTGGCCTGGATCGCTGGTGGTGGTGGTGAGGCAGCCTTTTTCCTCCCAGCCGGGTGGGTGCGTGACGTCCCCTCCGGGTGACTCGGAGGGTGGCTGGAGAGCCCCAAGACAGCTGAGGACTTGATTAATGCAGGCATTCTGTCTATCTGTCCATCTGCTTGAGCTTGTTTACAGTATAGTGCATCATGCTGGGAGTGGGTTGGCTGTGCCAGGGCTGCTGCTGGGCACCAGGCGAGGGGATATGAGTGCCCCCCGCCCCTGGGAGGCTGGAGTGGAGCCAGCCCGTGTGCCCGGGGATGATGGACGTGATGTGACCTACAAAGGCTCTCCCGTTGCTAATCTCTGTGGCGGAATTTCATCTTTCTCTATCTGCCTCTCAGTCTGGTGGGTTTTTTTCCCCTTCATCCGAACACTGCAGGATTTTGGCTTCCCAGAGGCGCCAGGTGAGGGAGAGAGAACAAGTAATATGTTTGTTTTTTAATTAGGCACCTAATCTGCTTCAGAGTATCTCAAACACTATTGGCTTGCTTGCTGAGCTCATTTCTATGCCCTGCAACATCCTTCCCTGGCAAGCTCTTGCTGGGGAGTGGGGTCTCCTTGGGACCCCATGCTATTTTTCCCTGCCCATCTGACCTTGACAGAGGACAGGATAGTATTTACCCCAGGCACTTGACATGACCCTGCAAATTAAAGTTCTTTTGCAGAAGCTGGAGGTGCTCCAGGTTGGCAGTTCAGCAAGGGAGGATGGCATGGCCATCAAGGTGCAAGGCTGTGCCTTCCTTCTCCTGTTTTTCCACTGGCGTGGTCTTGTCTGTCCTCCTGAACATCTCTCCTCTAGCAAAGCAGGGGAACCAAAAGCTCACCCCAAATATTTAGTGGTAGTTTTGGTATTTTTTTTTAAACTTGAGACCAAAAGGGTTCTTGTGGGCAGTGAAGTCCTCTCTGAGGCTGTAAATTGGTTGAATTTTGCTAAAAAAGACTAGTTCATGGTTTTCTTCCCTTCTCACTTCCTTTGGTAAAGGGTTCCATGGTTCCAGTGGTCAGAGGCTTTCCACTGTAAATGTGTTTGCTATCCGTTTCCTTTTGTCATCTTTTGCCCTTCAGTTTAAATGGTGCTTTTCCATCCMTGGTGTTTTCTTCTGGGTATTTATAAACTGTGATAGCATCCATACTTAGACTTTCTAGTGCCAGGTTCTACGAGCCAAACTCTTCTGGTGGCCAAGGACTCTCCCTCCTTGCGGTCCCTTTGAGAGTCCTTCCTTTCACAYCATGCTCTTGCACACACGAAAGTATTTTGCCTGCCATCTCCTGAGATCTCATAGCCCTTTATCCTTCCCATGGCATGAATGGTCCATTGTCTCCCTAGGGCAAGCTGGAGGCTCCTTTCGGCCCATTTCATGTGATGAGATTTCACTGAGAGCAGAAATTCTCATGATCGCTGCCTCAGGCAGTGACCTTGTGCTCAGGTCACACTTCCTTTTAGCAGACTTCATGATGGCATGGAGGTGCCTGTGGCTTTTTACCAATAGGCACCAAAACTGGCTCCTGCCCAGGGAGTTTGCAGCCCAGTTGAGATGGCAAATCTCCAGGGTGAACTGCAGGATCAGGAACAGATGGGATGACCAACTATTATTTATGTTGCTCCTTGCTGAAGAGGAGATAGGATAAATTTGACAAGGAGAATGCTAAACTATGGAAAGAGTTTAGCAATTCTGGAACATTTGCTCACCACAACAGTGTTGTGAGGCAGCTCAGGTTTCGTGGGTGCTTTGGAGGTCAGGCACAGCAAGAGTGAGTGTCACCCTGATAGAAAGGTTGCCTGGTTGCCTGATGTGCATGCTGGTGATCAGTGGTGGCTCTGTGAGGTGCTCATGTCAGGTTTGGATGTTTAGGTGACCCAGAAGCTGGAGCTATTGGTGCTACAGCTGGAGGTAGTGGAGCTGGGTGACCTACACCAGGCTGGAGCTGCACAGCTCTAGGATTGTTCCTGAAATAAAGCAGGCGAGTGTGAGCACATCCMTACCTGTTCCTGTTGTGCCCTGACCTGCAATGCTCTCCACAGCTGATGCAGGGGAGCTGGGTGGCTCCTTTGCAACCCGCAGGCGTTGGATGTAGAGCTGGCGCCATAAATAAGTAAAATGCTAATTGAAACAGGTTGTACCAGGTGCTCCTGTCTGCTTGGAAACCTGCTTGCTGGAGCAACTGAAGTGCTGCTGGATAGAAAAGCCTAACAAGGCAAAAGTAACTCTGATTTTGGAAGCAGGCCCAGCTTGCTTGGATGTGGGCTTGAGTAAGGTATTTCCACTGAGAGCTTCCCATTAAAACTTGTCACACAGATTGAGGTGCTGAGTCCCCCTCTCATGCCAAGGTCACTGCCTCTCCAAAGGGAGGTTCCGTAAAGAAGTTCACCTGCTGCTGTTGCCAGCCATGTCCTCTGGCTGATAGGAGCCTCCAGAACATTTGAGCTGGTACAGGAAGCACTGTCCTCTGTGTTTACAGGCACATCCCAAGCAGCTCCAGCTGAGCAGACAAGGGAGATGAAGGACAGGAACTACATTCCTGGCTTCCACATAACRGTCTGGCACCTGCAAGCTGGAGGATTGGAGCAAGCCACAGCATGGCAGAGAGCCCCAACTCCTGCCTTGCCAGCAGGTCCCTGGCTTGCCACATTCATGCTTGGCTTACAACACCATTTTGTCTCTTCCCAGGGATACACAGTATGGGCTTGCAGTGGCAGTTAAACTGAGCCTTAGAGCCTGGAGACATGGTTAGTCTAAAACCGGCCGCAACTGGGCTCCCACCTTCTTTCTGTCCCACATTAATTTAGCTGACACATTCCCTATGTTCCTGGCTCATAACTCATTCTTTCTCCCTCTGCTCCTCTACCTTATTTTTGCTGCAGCCACCATGCTCACTGGTTGCATGCTTGCCAKGTATGTTGGTGCAGATGAAAGAAACGCAGTGGTTCAAAGCACATGCTTTCAGTCAAGCCTTAGGGACAGTTCTTCGTGGGATGCCCTTGCCTAGGTTGGCTTCACAAAGGTTTTTGGGCGTTTGCTGTCAGTGGGATTGGGTGAAAGGCCATGTCAGAGGATGAACAACACATGACAGTTGCATGGTGATTCAGGTTGGATACAGAAGGTTGTGTTGTTTCCAGCATAGCATTTCCAGGAAGGATCTTTGAGCAGAAACAAATGTCTTGTTAATGACATTTCCAGATAAAAATCTGGGAAGTAGCATAGAGGGACCAAAGACAGTCAGAAACATGAGCAAAAAAGACAACCATGTATAATTTGCTGTTTCAAAACATGAGAGGCACACAGGGTAGAAACAGAGTAACTTCATGGTGATGGGACATGGCTAAGGCAAATATTTGTGGCAAAACAAGGCTGCAGAGAAGATTCCTGTGGCTGTGAGAGGAGCAGGCACTGCAGATGGCAGGGGATGCAGTTCTCTGCCTATGCTGGCACGGCCGAGCCAAGGAGAGGGTGATGTGTTGCTAGAAAAAAAACTGAACTCTTCCTCTTGGAAAAGATGGAACTTTTGGGTTGTCACTTTGCTGAGCAGTGGCATGGCAGTGTAGGGACTATCTAGAACACACAGAAGAACCTGGATACCACCCTGGACAGGTGGTTGTGGAGAATTGTCAGCACTAGTGGTGGGATAGAAGATGCTATTTAATCATGGGAAGTGCGTGAGACCTGGGCACAGGTCTCATGGGAGGTGGAAGGATTAATGGCCAG